TTTGAGAACTTTTAGCAGGCCATAAATGATCTAATGTAATGTTACACAGCTTGTGACAAATTTTAACTGGCAGCAAGACCTCTGATCGGGAGGTTTTTAGAAGCAAGGAACCCCCAAATTGGGGTCAAAACACTATGAAAGTATAAAAATAGATTTTTATAGTAAAAATACCAGCAATACATTTAACTCTGGACAGAAACCCTCTTTATATAACTGTCAATGAAACCTGATCTACAAACTGATTTCTTACAAAGAATACATATTCTATTCATTTGAACCTATCCTAAAAATCTTGTTGGCATTAAATAACCCATTGAGGTTGATATGTTGTAAAACAAAATAAACCAAACCATTTCTCTCTATAAGATGTATTGAGGGAATTAACATGACATTTTCCAACCTGACACAGGAAAAGGATGCCATGCTTATGGTACTAGCTGTCAAATAGTGATTTTTGTGGGTAGCCAGCTTCTCAAAAGGGAACACTTGATTGACTTGTTTTTTTATGGCTTATTAACCCTTTGCATGTTAAAGCCAGGAAATATATTTTTAGGTTGTAAGATTTTATTTATCTATTTATTTTATTTAGATAATAATTTAGGGATACACATCTTACTAATTAGCCCATAGCTGTAGGGAGTGGACTCCTACTTTTCCCAAAGGTATTTGTACATAAGTGAATATAATGAACCCAACTAGAATTGGAAGTTTGTTCACTGCTTAACAATTCTGAGACCTTATCAAAGTTTACAGCAACTGGTATTTCTAAGTGTCCACCCATTTAGATACTGACCATGCTCAACATTGATTAACTTTGGTGATCATATGGGTAACAATGTGATAGGGCTGTAACTCTGAAAGAGAACAAGAACTAGAGGAATGACACATAATTATGTATTGACCCCCCCAATGAAGTAACTAGTGTTAAGCATACAAATTTCACTTCATTTATGATGTTCCTAGAGGTCATGAGCAATAAGGATCATTGCCACTATTGCATGGTGCCCATATGTTCCATCAGGTCTCTGCTTGCGCTCTTTCTCACTCACATGACGTTCATATGACACATGAATGCCTGCTGAGAAATTTGGTCTTGTCACATGTGGCCTTCCAACTATGTTGATTTGAATCCACTTGACAATTATGTCTGGGATGTTGTTGCAAGGTAGACTAACCAGCAATGTGACTACTGGTTACCAAAGACTCATTGAAGGTCACCATTGTGGACATCTTAGCCAACGAGAGAACCTATTGATCAAGGCATACAATTGCTTCAAAGGTCATATCAAGGGTGTCTTTAAGGGTTAACCTTTTCTTAAGTTGGATATTTGCACAGTCTCTCTCATATATAGTCAATAAATCAAGGAAAGTTCAAGTCACTTATCTGATTGACTGACTGAAGAGTTTTGTGTTGGTCAATCTGATAAGTCACTTGAACTTCTTTTTTTTTTTTTTTTTTTTTTTAGCTCTATTTATTATATATATATTTATATATATATATAATTGTGTATTTGGGTAGCAATCACTCTTTTATACAAGTTTTATTAAGAATGGCTGACAAGTTAAGGTTTTTTTTTTTTTTTATTTTTCTTGTGTTGTTGTATTTTCTTTTCTGGATGTAAATTATGTAGAAATTGTCCAACTGTTTTGTATGTCTGAACACTTTGAGAACACAAGAAAAATGAAATAAAATACTTGAATGTACTGCCTTGTCAGTCGTTTTTAATGAAACTTATACACATGTGCACACACATGATGCAATGGATAAATTATCGTCTAAATTATGCAAAAATGAAAATAACACTGACATCTATATCTAACAGATATATATAAATACTAAAGAGTAAATTTATTCAATAAAATCACCATTGTCTTCAAACATAGCCTCCAGACAGCTTTGGAATCTCCTGCATCTCTTCTGAACCGTCTACTTGTTTAAGATGGTGAATGCTGCCATAATCCTTGCCTTCAGTTCATCTTTGGTGTTACAAGGAATTTTGTTGGTCTCTTGCTCAACTGTGCCCCACATATTATAATCAAGTGAATTGCAGTCTGGGAAGTTAGATGGAGGGATGTAAGAGGTAATGTGGACACAGAAATTGTCTGACAGCTATGACTGGGTACTCCTGCTTGTGTGGCATGGTGCAGAGTCCTCTTACCAGACATGAGGTTTTCTAGCAGCCCCCCTTTCGCATGACCCAGGGTAGCACTACCTCTTCAAAAAAAAAAAAACTTGATGTAGGCATCCTTGTTAAGTTTGGGCCCTCACCAATAAATTCAGGAGTTCTTTTCTTATCAAAATGATTAGTGAGTTTTTAAAGCTACTGTGCCTTCATAATCACCATTATATTTGTCTATCTCTTTCTGAATACTCTGCACTGTCCTCAGATTGACACCCAAACACTATGAAATGTTCGTATTGGAGCTTCCATTATGTAAGCCAAGCAGTAGAGCATGCTGTTTCCAATTTCTGGCAGTGAATTGCATCATGGTGCTCTTTTTTTTCACAGACAGTTCCCAACTGACCTCGCTATACTGTGTGGTCGACAAAAGCAAACACTTGCACAAAATTAAAAATATAAAATGGCGACAATTTACCCATTGTACGCTGTGTGAGATATATATATATATATATATATATAGTAAAGGGGGAGCTGGGAGAGAGGTTCAAAGTAGGGGAGGATTTCAAATTTCCTCTTTCTTTTTACAAGTACTCTTGGTGTAACTTCTAAAAAAAGACATGAAAACTGTTATGTCAAGTGAAATTTGTAGAGAAACAAACATTTATTAATGAGATAAAAATATTTTTCACCATATGCAAATAGTACAAATTACACTTTAGGCCTTGCACAACATTTCCTTGATGTGTTTCAAGCTATCAAGGCAGGTTAAGTTTTTTCAAAATACTAATTTGTTTCCTCATAGAAAACAATAGATCACACAAGGCAAATGTTCTCCTGTGGGGAAAATTGTGAAAATGGCCTACCTCGGAAACGCGCTCAATCTCTGCGCAGTATGTAAACTCTGGTCCTTCCAACTGTAAAAAGAAAACCAAAATGGCGGCGCCAAGGTTTTTATGCCGAGCGGTCTCGGTCAGTTAACGGAAATCTGCTGCCTCGTGATTCGCATGCAAATCGTGGTCGGTCCGCAGCTGTATAAAGCAGGCTCGTTTCTGCTGTTTAAGAGGAGAAGGCCTTCGGCTCGTGAGAAGGTTGGACGTGCGACACTGGTTTTCTTTGTGCCTACCTGCTATCATCAGTTGAATTGTTGAGTTACACACCACATCTCCTTAACAACAAAGGAATTTTAGTGGCTTTCCTTTAAAGCAACAATCTATATAAATAGACTTCTTAGCAACAAAAGAAATTTATTTACTTCAAAAAGTTCACAATCCAAAATTTCAAAACTTCAAAGGTTGAAAATCAAAGAGGTATGAGAAAATGTTGACCTGCTTCAGGTGAAGCTGTTTTTTTTTTGTTTTTTTTAAAATGAATGAAATGTTAATTGTAAATCTTTTGGTAGATATTGCAACAGACAAGAGTAAGAATGATAGAGAGAATGACTTGTTAACCTCACTTTTATTCTCTTTTATTTAATCTCTAAACAAGAGTATAGAATACACTCCAGCTGCCCTACTTGTTGGCTATTTTAGAAAGCTTCCATTCTTTTGTTGGGTAGGATATGTGTTGACTGGTGAATGAATGCTAGCTGGCTTGAGCTTCATATGATTGCAGTAGAAAGAAAAAAATTCTATTCTCCAATGTCTTTCACTGTGACTAGATGGCAAGTGAGATTTTTCTCCTGTTGAAAATAATTATTTTGTAATTTCATGTGTATAGTAATGGCATAAATCATTATGATGAGTTTTAAATTTCAGTATTGGCTACTTATATCAGTTTTGTACTAACATCTTTTAGAGAAGGCATAAACCCAATTCTTCCTATGATACATGGCTACCAATTCATTCTGTAATTTACCTGCCGTAAGTAAAGGTGATGTGCAGTGTGATATAATGGATAATGGTTTGGAATGAGAAATCTGAGAGCAGAGTTGAAATTCCAATCCAGTTCATTACATTCACTTGCATGCAAATACCCTTGGGAAAGGTATGAATTCATTTCTCCCCCCAGATATGGGTTAATTAGTAAGGCTTGTACTACTGAATCATTATTATCTCTAAAAATAAAATAAAACTGTGTACAAAATATTTAGATTTCGGCATTAAATAACTCATAAAGGTTGATATGATGCTAAACAAAAACAGCCAACCAACAACCGACCTCAGGCAAAAATATCACTAATTATTAGGGCTTTAAGAATAGAAATTTTAAAAGTGTATACATAAATATAGGTATCTCCATAAAAAAAACGCAATACTTAAGCTTTAAAATGAATTTTTAAAAATGAAAAATCTTTCTTGAAACTTTAGTTTTAATTTCAAGCTAATAGATTAAATTTAATATTTCCAATAAGCAAAATACTTTGCTGTATTTCAAAAACTAGCAGGACAAATTGGGTTTTATAGCCTTGGTTGTCAACCAGTCAACTACAGAAAGTAATGGTAGCCTACTGCAAGAAAATCTGTCTAGTCGGTCATGAATCAAAAGAGGCTTGATCGCCTAAGCATATACCATGTATGGCACTTAACTGACTCAAGTAATGGTAGTAAAATGATTGTTATATTCACTGCTACTCATAATAGAAGAGGACTGACACTGTTCTCTTTTTAATTATTTTTTTTTTTTGTTAGGAGAGGAGAAAGACTACTTTCAATTGGTAGTTTTAGAGAGTAGCAATCTACTTATCACCAATTCAACACAGGTTAGTGGAGTTGAAAATTTCACTTAGCATTTCAGCATCTTTGATTTGACCTCTTTTGACTATATCCCTAGTCACAGAACATTTCAGAATTTCTCTTTTGATAGTTTTGTGAAAGTCTCTTGTTTGGTTAAATATCTCCTTTTATTTATTTACTTATTTATTTATTTTTTTTGTTGCAGGCCCACTTAAAAGACAGCCATCAGTTGATGATCATCCACTGGGCTGGGAAAGCAAGTAAAGTGATTGTAGCTCTCACCCGTGACCGAAAGCCTGTACTCAACCATGCAACCAGCAATGTCTTTATTTCTTACAACTATGGAAAGAATTTTGATAATGTGAGTTACAAGCTAAGCTCTGGAAATAATCAGTCTGCCATACATCAGTTTCACAACCATCCATTACAAAATAGCCATGTAAGTAAAAAAAAAAAAAAAAAAACATTTTTCCCTTCTAACTTGTGATGTGATTTTACAGCAACATTTGACAATCTTGATGTAAAATTGTCAGTTGAATAGCATGCATATTTTTTCTTATGATTATTTATTATATATAAAGGAAATGTTTGATAATTGATTTACATTATTTTTATTGCTTTTTTTTCATTTCTCAACTAATAAGTCGTATACTAAACATTGATTTGGTCTGACCCATTTATCATGTTTTGGTTGATGTATGTTGTGGCCTTCTTCTGATGTCTGTTATATTTGGCAGCCTTTTGTGAATGTTGACTGAAACTCTTTGGTAATCTGCAGAAATAAGCAATTCTCATTCTTGTTATGTGTTGACCCAAGGGAATTTTTCTGAATTTGTCAGTTCTCTAGAAAGGACAGAGGACATAACAGGTATAGGAGTGAAAATAGCATATTCCAGCAAGGTATTGTCCTACATTCTTAGAAGGCTACCAAATCCATCAGAAAACCAGGAAAAAATGCTGAACATTTGTGAAAATGTGAGAAAAATAAGAAAAGTGAAAAGCCAACCCCAAACAGATCAAATTGTAAAATGACAATGTCTTGACACAGAAATATAAGCAAAAAAAAAAAAAAGAAAGTTATTTCTACTTGTAATAAATGTTCTCAATAGTAACCTTTTGGTACTAATCTGTCCATTGGGTTAGTACTCTAGATAGAACTTGTTTTTTAATTGTATGGTTAGGCCATATGATCCAATATCAACTGAAAGGGAGTGAACACCGGTTAAATATTTTTGAAAAGAAAGATGGACATGTTATTGGATTGTTATATTTTTATGATTATCAGCTTATGTGACACATAGTCTTTAAAAATCCTCTAATTAGCACAGTTGTATTTGGGGAATTATTCTGACTAATATCACTTTTTGATTATTACATTTCAACTAGTTCCTGGTCAATACAAATTCAAACATGAGGATATGTTTGAATAATTCATCTGATAATAGCAATTTTTTTTTTTATCTCTGACTTGTGGATAATTATGAATTTATTTACACATTTTAAATAAAGATATTAATGAATAGTAATTTTATGTAGAAAGCAGATGCATGCATGCATGTATGTATAAAAGAGAGGTGTGATTGTTAAATAACAAAACTGGGCTTATATAAGTCGAACTGTGACTGTGTGAACCACATGGTATATATTGACTAATGGGCAAGTATAAGCCACCTTTTGAGAGATCATTCACATCTTCAGTTCAGCTATCACTTGAAGTAGATTTTTTTTTCTTTTTATTGACAGTTAAAACAGATCAAGCAATGCATTAATTTGTAATCTTTACTGAAATTGATGAAACCATTCTGATTTTGACTTGATCATTTTGATTATTTTTTTTTCTTCACAAGCATTAGTGTCCACAAGATTCATTATCTTTGACGTCCTCTTGACATTTACATTATCTCTTGAACACACAATATGCATTCTTGGGTAATCTATCAATGTATAAAATTCTGTAACTTCTGTCACACCATCTAAAATAGCCATACATTGACTGATTAAAACCAAATTTTAGGGAGAAGTGTAAACAGGTAAGTGTGTACAAAGTACAGTTGGTTTTACTAGGGTACATAGTTTAGTACAATACGTTTTCATTCATTTTTTTTTTTTTAAATTAAAAATTTTATTTAAAAACAATTAAAATAACAAATACTTATACAAAAAAACAATGTTGCATTTTTATTATCTTAAGTTTTTTATAGACAAGAATCCAGTTTCCAGTTCACCCTGTGTTTGCAAGAATTATAAACAAATCACAAGGCCAAACTCCTGAAAAGTTGGAATTTGGCTCCAGAAGTAAATATTTATGCATGACCAGTTGTATGTTGCATGCTCAAGAGTAAGAAATCCTCAGAATTTATTCTTCACTGTTAAAAAGGGAAAAACATTTTCTTAAAAAATATTGTTTACCATGAAGTCTTATAAAATTAAAGAAGTTATTAAACTGCAAAGTGGAATTTTTGTCAAAGTATTTTTCCAAACAAATCAGATTATTCAAATTTCATAGATTAATTTACAAAATTGAACTAAATGTAGTTTGCAAATTTTGACAAAAAAAAAATGAAGCGATATCTTCAACAATGCTAAATACTGTGAGGATTTCAGCACACATTATTATGTTGCAAAAAATTCTAATATACTTACAAAATATGGTAGCCATTTTGTTTGAAAATTTCAAATTGATGCATTGCTATATTTTTGAAGTAACCATTTTTATAACAAATCAGATTAAAAAAAAAAAAAAATTACTCCAAGTGATGTTTAATAGAAAACTGAAAATGCAAGTGAACTGAAACTTTCAGAGTGTTTCTATTTGGCTATTGATCAAGGTTTACCACATGATTTGCACATCATACACATTGTGGCTTGACTTATATAGACCCAGACTTATTATTTAATATGTACAGTGCCATTCTTTATGAAAAAGACCTAGTGCAGCTGCTACTGCTGTTTTCTTTGTGTGTATGCACTGTCCTGTTATTGTGTGCATATGTATTTCTTTTCCTTCCACTTCATCATGTGATTTTAAGCAAACCTTAAAAATATGTTAAAAGAAAGCAGCATTTTGTTCCTTCTACAACAGAAGGGAATGTTTAACTTGACTTTTGAGACTTGACAAGTGAAATCTGTGAAATGATGGCTTTGAGTTCACATGCCTCAAATCATCAAACAAGATGGTTGTCTCAGGCATTTGAACAAACAAGCAGCAAATGTCAGTCTCCCCAAATAAACACCCTCTGCCCATGATTCACAGGAGTAGAGTTGATCTTTTAATGATGGAAATAAATGATGATTATAACTTTCCTGGTTGTGAATGTAGAATTAATTTGAATATTACAAAATCATTGGTTCTTTTATAGCAAATAGGAATTGCAATGACAAATGCTCTTTAATGGGAGTGGGGCACCTCAAATCATCAAGTGGCAAATTGCTTGTTCTATAACATGTATAATAATGAATATATAACTAGCTTATATATCTCTATATAAACTTTACATATATCCTTGATTCACTCTACCCCCCAAAAAAAAAAATGTAATACCTGTAAAATCTTTAATTCCTTCCACCACTCTCTTGCAAAAGAAATCAAGGTTGAACGCTGGTCTTTTATGTTAACATTTATTTCCTGTAGTCATTTTGATTATTTTTTTTTTTTTATTCTGAAAGTAAAAATCCAAACTGATCAGTTATCTTAATTTTTCTGTTTCTATCAGATTTCATTTGCTAACTGAAAATTTTATTACAGCTTATTTTTTTTTTTCTTTATTCTATAGAATTTAGAAAGTTTATTCCTGATATTTATTTTTACCTACAAAATTCTTTGTTTTAAAAATCTTTTAGTGCCCATTGCTCCACTAGTAGAACAGATTTTAAGACATATTTATTTTAATATCCAGCAAACATTAATTATACTTTAAAACAATATGTAAATACATATTATAATATGGTCACTTCTCAGTCATTATGGAACAAAATATAATCTGCTGTCCTTGTGACCACATGACAAATGTAAACTAATATTGATAATCTCGAAACCAGGTATTAGATTTCAGTAAAGGATACGTCAATTGGGCATGGCTATTTTTGCCATTCATCTCCTTCATCGAACTTGCCATCTAGTGAAATCTTTTACATTATATACCCATTGCAATGAATTATTTGCCAAGTTCTTTCATTCACTCCAACAGGTTTTCTTGAACCTAGCAACTTTCTTAATTCAGGTGACCTTCCTGAAAGGCAAAGTATTTTTGACAGGAGGAACAAACTCTGCTGATAAAGCAATCAACAATTTATTAATGAAAGAAAATAAAATTTGCAACAATATGCAGTTCGACCAGTAAATTCTCTTCTTTCCTTGAGGCACTGAGAGATAACTAATAGTTAAAATGCAGGTAGATTGTCATCTTAGCTGCTAGAATTTCAACAAAAACTGCTAGTGATTTCTGGAACAGCTTGGTGCTAAATGGAGCATATTTATAAAGACAACTATCTGCAATGAGACTTTGATTAATTAGGCAGTTCCATAAAGACCATTTTTGTTAAATAAACCAGATGACCTGGTAAATTTCATGTGATCCTTCCAACTGTAATTTACTATTTAGAATTTATAGTTTCAAACCTTTTCATAAGAATCAATGCAATTCCTGCTGAGTAGGCTACCAAACAATTCGCAGACTTCATTAATCATGTCATCATGATTTCCTTGGGGCTATGGGGATTGGCAGGGAATTCCAGCTATACTGGATTTTTACCAAATCTTACTTGGTTCATTTTAGGTTCAAATATTCCCAATGCCTTCCCCATAAGTATTTTATAAGTTCATATAAATATTTTTAAACAATTTTTTTTTCCATCAGGTTTAACCACTCTTTCATATTTTTCTCCATCTAATATCTCTACTCCTTCAATCAGGATTACTAAATCTCTCAGTACATCAAGTTGCTAAACAACATTTCATGCACTAATATGCCCTGTTACAATATTTTATTTTAGTTTTTTCCATTTATATTATCAATAAAATAATAAAAATTAATGCCCCCAAAAATGTCTTCAATTTTCTGGAGGGGAACAGTGCACACTAAAATGTTAAGCAATAAGTGGAAAAAAAGACATTAAAATTTTTTTTAATAACAAATACCTGCAAAAAGAAAATGATTAGTTCTCCCTTTTTCAAAGGAACTAAATTAATATTAACACAATTACACCCTTCATATACATCAATGGTTCATGGAATAGAAAGGAAGATATAACATTATTTTTTTAAAGATTTTGTAAGATGGGGAAGTTTATTTATTTTTCAAAATGCATTATTTTTTCCTGAAATAGTTCAAAAGTAAAATTTGACCTTGTATTTGGTGTATTTAGAAAAATGTTTAATGAGCTTAAGGTTAACATTTTTCTGCTGCTATATTTCTTGTCTTTTATTTGAACCTTGTAGAGTTGTTTGCAAACTTGATTAATGCAAAAGAAAAAAATGTATGCATAAGATTGGAAAAACTCACACACACACACATGAATGTTCACTAGCAGAATCATGACAGATATTTTCCTTCACACTCATACCTTTTTAATTCTTTCCAATGGATCTGATAAAAATGAATTTGGCATGCATTTCATTTTAGTTCTTAATGATTATTTTATTTTCAGTATGTATTTGTGGACATCAACAACAACATCACTTATTTCACAAGAGATTATGGGAAAACCTTTTTGAGACATTCACTTAGCTTCTGCCCCCGAGTGATTACATTCCATCAGGTGAACCCAGAAATATTGTTGGGCATGGATGATGACCCATCTCAAAGAAAGGTAACTCCATAAATATTTTCTGGTTTTTGTGGCTTTTGTTTTGTATGGCATGGCACAAAGTCAAATTAAGAAAATATCTGTAGAGGAGTGTAAGGATTTGGTAATATTTTTGATGCTTTCTTTACAAAACTTGTCTCTTAAAAAAAAAAAATAGTTAGTCATTTATTAGTTTTGTATTATTAGATCAATTATCTTTCCAAACTGACAAAATTGTTTGTTTTTTTATTGTTATTAATAATTTACTATGTGGATTTTTGGAAATCCAAAAGATGTTGGCAGCTATCATCATTTTTCTCATGTATTTCTCCAAATACTGATAGAATAAATCTATTAAATAAATGTTGTAAATTTATACCTTATTTTTAATGTGAAATGTAACCTGTTGAGCAAAAATCTGTTTTAAGAAAAAAAAATCTTAAGAATTTAGATGTCAAGAGACATCAAATTTGCTTTGTTATTCCTGCAGTGTTTAAAATGATGTTATGAGGCTGGGAACAGAAGTAATGATTTGAGCCATTGTACAAAGAATTGGTTATTATTTATTATTATTATTATTTTTTATTTGTTATTTTGGGCTGCTGATGTTAGTTTTGCATGATAATTCACTATTACTGTGAATTCCATTCACACAGTCCTGTGCCCCCCATAAATATATATACACACACTTCAGTGTATAAGGTGACCTTTTAAATCTTGAAAATAACCCCGCAAAATAGGGGGTAGTCTAAACAACAGTTACAAAAAGCTAACCGTAAATCCTGTGGTGTATTGGCACTGTTAAGTAGGCTAGTATGCTAACGGTTGCCTCGGTATGGTAACATTGTAGTGTTAAATAACATTTAGTGTAACATGGAAAATTTATCTTTCAATAACCATAGATTATAGTTTTTTTTTTTTCCTCTGGTGTTAAGCAACAAAATATTTATGATGCCATAAAATCTTTATTTTTCTTTATTATAGAATAAAAACATAAGACACCCATATACATAATTAAAAACCCTTCAAAATGACTGATCATCATCTGATGAAAAGAGAAAACAGCCTTAAACTTGGAAAAAAAAAATTGTGTAAATCTTTATCTAAAAGAAAAGACCAAAGTATTTTTTGATTTTTTTTTTTTTTTTTTTTTTTTTTTTTTGGAGTCAGCGAAATTACTAATCGATGTTTCAGCTTTTTTTTTTATTTTGTAAACAGAAGTCATATTCTCCATTTAAAACTCATGCAAAAATCAATTACATGTTCTTCGAGAAAATTTTAAGTTTATTGTAGTTTGAAACAAACATTACTTATTTTCTTCGCAAAAAAGTAGTTTAAAATAAGAAAACATATTTTACAATGGTGATGAGTGATGGCTTCATCACATATTGACACCCTAATGTGAAGGGCAAGTTATCATACAGAGGGACAGAAGTGACATACACTTTTGTAGTTTTAAGTGAACCCACTTATTTACCATGTAATTTTTAAAGTAAGAAAAAAACTTAGCAGTCTAATATTTTTATTTTTTTAAGTACTTTAGCTTTCACCTTATGATTGTTGATACTTTCTAGAGAAGTTAAAAATACTATTAAAAATAAAATAACTGCTGAGTGAGATAACCTTTCATAAGAAAGGTACATAAAATTATAGGATAAATTTACGTACACTTCTAGAATTTTAGGGTATTATTTTTATCTCGGTCATTTTAAAATCGTTATTAAGAGGAAAGATCAAAGTATTTTTTATATATATATTTTTTTTTTACTCCTTTTTTAGAACCTTTTTGATTTAAAACAAAAACAAAAAAAACCTTGTTTTTCTTGCGTTGGAGGTTGTAGCAAATTTTCACCTCCTTTTTTTGCAGTGACACATTAATTAGAAAATCGTGGTAAATTTTTTTTTTAAATGTGTTTCTACCCCTTAATAATTTTATGAAAGCTTCAGAAATTTATCGAGTTAATTTGTAGTGACTATATTAGTTAAAAGCAAAAATTTTTTAATTTGAATCACCAATTTTATTTTGCAAAATCGGGCCCGAACTTACTTAGTCTGTTCTGAATCAAAAAAATAAAAAACATAAAACTAATAAATTATTTAATTAGAGAAGCTTTTAATTGCTTTTATGAATAATATATATTAAAGACAATGTTGTCTGAAGAAAAAAATTTTTCAATGAAAAATGAATTTTTACAAGATCTTTTCATTTTTTTACAATTTAAAATTGAATAATTTATAAAGATTTTGCATCTTTTAAATGAGATAATTTTTAGAGGATATTGTTCTTAAGTAAAATTATAAAATTATATTTACTGATCATATATTTTAAAGCTTATTACAATCTGAAGATCCTGACTATTTTTAAAAGAATTTTGATTTTTGTATGTGTGAATCTACTGTCAATAAATCAACACATCAGAAAAACCATGTGATGTTTTCACACTTTTTGGCGCCATCTGTGCATTTGAAATAAACCGTTTTTATAGACACAAGAACAATTTTAAATTCTATCTGCACATACTATAAAATTTAGCAGGTTTGTAATAAAGCTGTATAATTTATGATCTGTAAAGATATATCTATTTAATAATACTATTGCCTAAAATAAACAGCTTTTTCACTAATTTTAAAATATTTAACAACTTTAATGTAAAAATGGTGAAAAAAATGTAAGAAAAAACAAATAATTGTTGTAAAAATTATTTTTTCACCAAAACAAATTTTTGCCTTCAGACAATATTGTCCTTATTCATAAAAGCAACTAAAAACTTTAGAAATTAAATATCTTTTGATTTTTTTTTTTTTTTTTTTTTATGCTACAATTCAGAGCTGAATTTTGGTAATTGGTCTTTTGATTTTACAAAAACAAATTGATGATTTAAATTCTTCAAAGACTTCTACTTTTAACTAATATATTCACTAGAAAAAAAAGAAGAAAAAAAAGCAGCATTGAATTTCTATAACTTTCAGCAATTAATTGGAGGGGGTTAACAGATGTGAAAAAAAAAAAAAAAGAAACAACAAACAAAAAAAACAACTTTTTTTATAATGACTTTCAAAATTAAAAAAAACATCTAAAATAATTTCAATCATTTGGGAATAAATCCTGAAAGTTTCATTAAATTCTGACAGTTTTTTTTTTTTTTTTTTTGCAAGATTTTCAAAATTAACATCTGTCACTGCAAAAAAAAAAAAAAAAAAAGGCGCTAAAATTTGCAATGTTATTTAGTAATGACACTTTTGCAAAGAGAAACATGATTTTTTTTTTTATCAAAAGTTAGAATGGTCTAAAAAAAAAATGCAAAAATTATAAAAATTAATTAAAAAAAACTTTGTTCTTTACTCCTAATAATGACATAAATATTTACACGATAAAATTTTGGTTTCATCAAGTTTAAGGCCATTTTTATCAAGGTATGTTCTGTTTTTAGAGATTTCATGAAGTTATATGTTGAATTATTATATATATAAAACTTGCATTATCAATAGGATTTAAATCTTTTGACACTTGAATGTTAAAAAATTTTCTAAAAAAAAAAGTAAAAAATCTGTAAATTTAGAGATACATTGGTTCTTCATTTGTTAGCATAACGCAACAAAATCAACGTGTTCTGATAGCCACTTTTGTTAGTGCAATACCATTAAAATGCAGTAATTTGGAGAACAAAGTAATTCCCAGACTAATCAGGTCACTAATTTCCAAGTAATTTCAGATAAATTGACTTAAAAAGTTTACAAAAGAGAGACAACTTGTATGAACTGCTAGATAGACTGCACTCTACTCCATCAGCCATAGTGGCATGTTGGTAACATTATTTTAATAATAATAGAGCTTAATGATAATTAATGCTTACTATTAATCACAAATTATATATTCTATAAATAGGAAGTGACTTGTTATTGAGTAGAGTCTACCAAAGTCAGCATTTAAGTGAGAATATAAAAATAAGAAAATTGCTTGAAAAAGAGAAATATATTACTCTGATAAAAAACATTATGAAATGTCAAATAGATCTTTTGATAATACATACTTGTTAACCTTTTATAATCTGTGACTTGTGTGCCATGATTTGATGTAAAAGATAGTGAAATCAGATAAGTTCTAATGTTGTTGTGTTCTTGCATCAGTTAAGGTCAAAAGAAAGAAATATCATTTGTGAAAAGTATGAAGTCTATTAAAAAAAAAAAGTAAAAAGAGACAAAGGAAAAAGACAAATGTTTAAATAGATGACATATTATATATTTTTATTGCTGGCTATTTCTTTATTTCCAGTCTAGTCTGCTTATGTAATGGTCATAGAATATAAATCAATGTTGCCATATAGAAAGAAAAATTAGTCCAAGTTAATAATGGAAAAGTTTAATTTAAAACTTTATTTCATATACTTATTTATTTTAATTCATAAACTATGAATTTTAGCGCCATACTAGATTGGCTACAAGGTCTCCTCATTTCACAGTTGCAATGGCTAGATGATCATATATTGTAAAATAACCTGAACATTGTGAATAAGAGTAACAGAAATGAAAGAAAAGCTAATAAAACCAGAATAGATTAAATGTTTTCAGTAACAAACTTGATTTCTTCATTTCTTTTTTTCAATCTTTTTAATAGGAAAAAAAAAACAACTGTTAAGTTTTCTGTTATTTTCATCAAGATTGATACCAACATCATTGTCATTATGATTATTATTTTAAGTTTAGTTTAAGGCTACAAATTCTTCACTCAGAATTGTTCCACAGGGCAATAGTGGTTTAAAATGTTAGTTTGTGAAATTGATGACATAGTAATTGTGAGCCCAATCCCTGGGCTGGGCAGTGTACTTGGACTCAGTGTGGAAACTGGGAGCAATAAAAACTAGAAAAGATATCTCATGGGCTGAGAAACAAGAACAATCTACCCCCATAGAATAAATAAATGGTTCAATTTGAAATTCCCTGTAGGTTACTCAGATCAACCAGGATGGCACAATGGCCAAAGCATTTTGATAACAAAGATGGACAATAGTCGGCATGTAAATAGT